CCCCCCCCCCCCCCCCCCCCCCCCCCCCCCCCCCCCCCCGCCTCCCATCAAGCTGACTCAGGTTGTTGGGCTCTTTTGGGGCAGGGCACCACCATCCGAAGTGAGGTCAGCAGCCTGGTTGAGTTGTGGAGCCCAGGGCCAGGCTGGGAGATAGGGCCCATTAAAAACAACAACAACAACAACAACAACAACAAACAACAAGCCCTTTTTAGATCCAGTTTATGACTTAGAAAGAGTGGCCGATGGGGCCAGCTCCCTGTGACCCTGAGTGGCAATACCGGAACAAAGTGGATGGAGGAGGATAGAGGATAGAGAAGAAGGCTCAGGAGAGGGACCTTGGGGGCCTGAGGAGTTCAAGATGGGGAGAATGGTGTGCGGTTCTCAAGTCCACCTAGAGGTCGGCAGAGGGGAAGACTGTGAGGAGACAGTTGGATTAGGGCACTTGAGGGCCATCGATGATACCCTGGCAAATGTAGGGGACAGGTGGGGTGACAGAGAGACCAGCTAGTTTGAGACAAGGTAAAGGGGCCGTGGAGCCCCGGAGTCCTTAGAGTCATGCTATAGGGGGCAGGTGAGAGGTAGGTAGCAACAGGAGAGAAGGTGGCATCCGAGATGAGTTCTGGGGTGGGAGAAAGAGTGGGTTTACTGCCAGAGGGACAGGAGAAGGTGACTGGAAGGTAGATTGGCCTGGATGTGCCATCCTGGAGGGTCAGAGTGTGCAAAGGTGAAGGGGTGCCTGGAGGGGTATCCTGGGGCACCAGATGGTCTACTCTGGAGTGACTGAGTGCCTTGGAAGTCACCGGGGGTGCCTAATAACCGAGGGAGGTCAGAGGCCCTGACGGACTGCCCAGTGACCCAGCTTTACAGGGGGTTTCCCACACAGTCTGTTAGAGGATGGGTTCACACACTGATGCCCCATTATTTTCTTACTGGGAAATAGAATCCTCAAGAGTTTGTCAGGTTACAGATGGGCCATCCCTAAGGCCAGGCATTTCATTACTTCTGGGTCACTTCTTCCGCCTGGGATCATGTCTGTGGTCCTGTCATGGCCATCTTGGGAGGGATGGTGGCTCCTCACATTTGAGATGTTGAGGCCTGAAAGCTGGTGCTGGGCCTGAGAAGCTGCTCTCTGATAGAGATGGAGTGGGGGCCCTGAGGCCGCCCTGACTGCTGGCTGCAGCCAGACCAGTCAGAGCCAGGGGAAGGGGACTGGAGTGGCTTGCATTTACAGTGATGGCAGGGAAATGGGTGTCACTGAGATTTCATTGAGGGGACTTGGGTGGGAGAGTTTTTGGGAGTTGGG